CGAAATATGTCCCTCTCCTGGTGAAAGCCTGCAGTGGCTCTCAGGGAGCACTCCTTCAGGTGGCGCACAGGGCCTGTTCGGTGGGCTGTGTCCCTGCAACACCGGCTCTGTTCCCGCTGCTGAGCTGTCTGTCCTGACACCAAGTCTGCTCTCTGCCACCACGCAGTCTTTCCACACGCTCTGTCCTAACACGCTTCCTCCTGTATTTCCTTGCCAGCCGCCACAACATGCATAGCCCAGCTGAGAAGTCGCTTCCTCCAGGAAGCCTTCCTTGAGTACCTAACCTTGAGTTCTGGTCCCTCTTTTGTGTCCCCGCTCATTGTGCTTCCCTGATCACATTGAATTGTAAGCTTGTGTAGCCCTCATGCCCCTCAGCTCCCTGAGGCATGAATGCTCTGCCTCCCGCACTTTGCACAGGACCAGGTGTGGACAGGTGACCAGTAAGTGTTGAGTGGACGAGTGGACGAGAATGAATGAATGAATGAATGAGATTCCTAAACCTCTGCCCTCAACCCTGAGTATTTTTTCCTCCTTCACTGTTTCACTTTTGCCCACAGCACTGCCAAGAACTGCTTTGCCCAGTGGGCTTTTTTTTTCCAGACAGAATGGAAGGGCAGGAGAAGGTGGAGAGAGAGAGAGAAACATCAGTGTGAGAGAGACACATCGATAGGTTGTCTCCCGCACACACCCAGCACCCCAATCGGGGTGCTGCAAGCCTTCTGTCTGCTGACCAACCGACTGCCCAACCATCTAGGGCAGCGGTTCTCAACCTGTGGGTCGCGACCCCTTTGGGGGTCGAACGACCCTTTCACAGGGGTCGCCTAAGACCACCGGAAAACACATATATAATTACATATTGTTTCTGTGATTAATCGCTATGCTTTAATTATGTTCAATTTGTAACAATGAAATTGGGGGTCACCACAACCTGAGGAACTGTATTAAAGGGTCGCAGCATTAGGAAGGTTGAGAACCACTGATCTAAGGCAACTGTATAGCTCATTTATTTCATCTCTAAAGCAATGTGACTTACTTCTGCCAGGTCATTGTTATGATTAAATGAGTAAATGCACTTAGGGGTCATGCATACATTTTACCAGTATCCGTCAGGGTCCTGGTAGGAACCAAATAGCACATTTAACCAGGGTAGTCTGAGGAGGGCTTAATAAAGGTCTACAGGTGTTCACAAAGGTGTGGGCAGAATTTAAGGGTAAAGGACAAGGGATATTGCAGTGCTGTGGGGCTACACCCCCACTAAAGGAGTTTAGGGGGGGAGCAGTTTACAGAACCCAGAAAGGGGGGCTGCGTGGTGCCACCCCGCAGGAGCTGTGGCTCTCTTAGGAGGATACAGCTAGCCAGTGGGCCTTTTTTAAAGTTAGGTTTACTTCCTCAGGGCAAGTGGACGGGCTGAATTGAGCGCAAGATTATCTTTCTGCCCCCTGATACATTTTGCAAAAATAAATTCCAAAATTATGGTAGCAGTTTGGGAGCCTTTTTCTTTTTTTAGCAAATGAATCCTTTTTTCCCTTTGTAAGTGTCTTCCTGCCGGAAGCGGCTCAAAGCTATTTTTACCTCACGGCTGTAAAGCTCATCACTCTCAGAGGAGAGTGGGGCGCTGTGCAAAAACTGTACCCGCCTCCCCAGCCCGTCAGCCCTGCGCACTAGCCTAGTTCTAGGTCATTGGGGAAAAGCAAGTTTAAATTATGTTCCAAATTAAGCAGTGGTTTTGTAAAAGGAGAAAAACTCACACATTATTAACGTCTTCAAAATTCTAACAGACCAGGAAGTCATCAAGGCAGAACCGATGAACTGTGGCAGGTGAATGTTATCAAAAGATGAGAGGGGAAAGCAGCTTGGGGGCTGGGGCGTGGGTATCTGACTTTCAAACTTTGTTTTAGCAGCAAAAGCTTTCTTCAGATAAAATCGCACAGGAAAATCCACTCCGTGATATGAGCGAGAATGCCACTGCTCTGGCTGAAGAGTGGGGGTGGAGGTAACCACGAATACTCCCATCCTATGTTCGTTTCTCTCTCCCACCCACGACACTCCCCGGCCACCTCCAGCTGCCCCAGTGACACCAAAGTCTACCATGTAGAAGCCCAGCAAGGGCCACTCACTGAGTGGTGGCAGAGCAGGGCCACCTGCTGGGCTCCTGGCCTTGTTTACCTGCGGTCTTTGCCGCGAGCCTGCTTGGTGGTGCATAACATTTCTCCAAGTTGGTCCCGGAGCTGGCTGGCTTCCCAACGCTCACCATCCAGGGGTCCCCAGCTATCAATC